GATATTCGAGTTTAATAGTTTGTTTCTAAACTTTAATACTTAGCTGAAAATTCAATTTTTACTAATTATTTGAAACATTTTCCTAAACCCCCATAATTTCATATGTTAAGGGAGAGAGAGAGAGAGAGAGAATTATACAACTCCCGTGTGTGCCTAGAGTTTTCGAGTTGGATAAGGATGATGAATAAAAAGAAACCGGAAGGTGCTGACAAATTTTTAGGCACATGATGCCGAAGGGAAGGTGGATAAAAGAAAGAAGAGATGCCTCACATTTTTTTTTGGAAAAGGACATACAAGACGGACAAGGATATTGTTAAGAGTACCATTCCCTGCATGTTGTTGTCTCCTCTTCTTAGGATGGCCAACTCACTCAACCACTTCACTTTGGCCCATCAATTTAATTTGTGGTCATGATTTTGGCTTTTACGTGACAATTCAATGCCAAACATTTATGCATGAACAGTATTGAACCACGTACGAGTCTACCGTCCTAAGTGTTTATCACGGAATCTATAAATTAGATTGTACGAGAGTTGGTAAGGATCCATTAAAATAAACTCATGGTACTTTTCTACGTGACTGCAGTATCGGTTATGTTTTTCTAAAACAAAAAGCAAGTTCAACGTATTTCAGTCCACACGGAGAGTCACACGCAAAATTTTTTTAAATAGATATTAATTTAACACTGTAATTTTTCCTAACAAAGAAAAAAAAAAAATCATGAGGATTTCCTTGTCTTTGAATGTCTGCTTCAGCACCCTTCTTCTAAAGCTCGGTACGGACAGGTCCTACTTTGGGCCTCAAAAGTTTTACTAGGAAAAATGGCCCGGATGGATAAGGCCCTACTACATTATTTATTTAACTTTTCCTCTTGGGTTGCGGCTATTTAACTATTTCTTGGATAAAAACATAATATTGTAAATTTATAATTATAAATATATTTTTATATAATTTTTTTATTAATGTATATATTAATTTACAATATATTATGATTATAACATTTTAATATTATATGACATTATAATTATAATATTATTATTTATTAAAAAGTTAATTATTATTATTATTATTTGCACTTGACCCTTGTGACCCAATAATCAGTACATATCTCCTTCTTCCGGACGGGTTTCGAATCCATCGCATGATAAAAAAGTTCAAAAAAAAAAATTAATTATTGAAGAAACAAAAAATATCAAATTACAAAATATTAGTATTTTTTTTTATTTTGAGTTGTAAAATCAATAACAATTGTTAATAATTTAATTAATTTAGTGATCTTCTTCTTTTATTAAAAATAAGAGAT